TGTATATATGTGTGTATATGTATATTTATACTCAAATTTATTATATATCTTTATACTTACATTTATTATAAGTTATATTTAGTGTAAAATAAGTATATTGAATATTACTGGAGTTTTTTCCCAACACCAAATCGTTATTTTTAACACCTCGACACGTGTTTCGATCACCAAGTGATCATCTTCAAAGAGGAAGATTAAAAACTGTGCATCATAAGTAAAATAAGTATGTTAACTATTTTATTTTTTGTAAATTAGGATTGTCCTACTTAAATGAATAAATCAAATCAAAATATTTGAAAAAAGTGTAAAACCTGTTTCTCCTGTAACCAGCTGTCGCACCCTACGAATGAAAAACCTCAGAAGTCTAAGATCATGCGAGCCCAGGATTGAGGAGAGCTTACCTTTCAACGTGCAATTCCTAGCATGGGTTGGACGATAGGCAGTAAAAATTGATCGTCTGGCCTCTAGACTCGAACCATCGATTCACAACAGCCAATTGAATGAGTGGAACAAAACTACTCACGCAAATCCAACCAGCTACCGTCCCACTCATCACTCTTTCTCTCTCACTCTTTCAATTGTTTGCAAAAATATTACTATTTTTATTATAGTATGTCATAGCTGATTTTTTGTTTCAGCATTTCTCGGAAATCATAGAAGATCAATTCGATTTTCACACCTACTGCATGAGGAAAATGACGCTGAGATCATACGTAGGTCTTCTCAGGCTAGAAGATGTTTTGCGTGGTCACCCGTTTTACTTCAAAGCAGCCAAATGTGCCATCGAAGTGTACCTGCATTTGTTCGATGAACCGCTGAAGGATGAGAACGCCGAGCAAGAACTCAATACAGGTGAGCGATTTTTGAGATTTGTGAATGATTGTATATGAAACGTAACATAGGTTTGATGGACTTGAATCGGAGAAAAGTTTCTGATGAAGATGCTCTCTATGATTTTTGCAAGTGTAATGTTTGGAACGTTGAAATTAAGGTTTTTGTATCGACGGGATTCTGAGATTTTTTTAGCAAATCGATTTACTTTTTGTTTTCTCGACCATTTTTAGATAACATATATATTCCTTATGAACTGTTCTTACACATACACAAAATTAGTTTCTCAACATCAATGCAATGCAATAAAAATAACAACTTATTAATAAATGAACAACTTGGATTTACACAAGGTAAATCCACAATACTAGCACTCAATCATTTATGTGAATATATAATCGAGGACTTTGAAAATAACCAGATCGTAGGATCTACCTTCTGCGACTTATCCAAGGCATTTGATTGTGTATCACATGAAATATTGTTAAGTAAACTCGATTACTATGGTCTTGATCATACAAGCTTAAATTTAATATCAAGTTACTTAGAAAGTCATAGACAGATCACATTACGCTGTGGTAGTTATTCAGAGGAGAAAGTAAACCGGCATGGAGTACCACAAGGTTCCATATTGGGACCGTTACTATTCTTAATATATATAAACGACGTAAAAATATCTTTGCCACATACCTCTTTAGTACTCTATGCTGATGATACCACTTTAACAAATAGTAATGATACCATGGCCAATTTAAAAGCCGATATGACCAAAGCAATGTCTGATGCAACAGATTGGTTTACTGCTGAAAAACTTAATTTAAATATTAGTAAGACTGACAAGATGATATTTTCCTTGAAAAAATATGA